CCATCGCTAACCCTCTCCTCACCTCCCAGCTCCACCTCCTTGCCCCCTACTAACAGACCTTGTTAACCTCTTCCTGTCACTGTACCCATCCCTCGAAAGACAGCCGTCATCACCCCTACCCTCAAAAAACCTTCCCTTGACCCATCTCTGGTCTCCCAACTAACGCCCCATTGCAAACGTTCCTTTTCTATCAAAGGTCACGGAACGAGTTGTCGCTCTTTCCTCTCCCAGCATTTCCTCCATGATCCCCTCCAATCTGGGTTTCATGCTGCTCAGAGCGCAGAGTCAGCCCTGGTCAAAGTAACAAACGACATTCTGTTCAACAAAATTATATTTATTGATCGCCTTTCGGGTCGGGAGGACGACCCAAAGCGCTGAACAGTCAGGTATCGGGACCTGAGCATGGGGGAGGGGTGGTGTAGGGGTGAGGGAAGGCAGAGAGGTGGGAGGGAGACCAAAGGCACGGTTGAAGAGAAGGGTCTTGAGTCTGGCCTTGAAGGAGGCAAGGGAGGAAGCGAGGCGAAGGGACTGTGGGATGGAGTTCCAGGGCGTGGGAGCAGAGAGGCTGAAAGCCCGGCCACCGATGGTAGGACGGGTCAGGCAGGAGACATGGATTAGACCGGAGCCCGCTGAATGGAGGGAGCGGGCAGATTGGTAGGGAGTCAGCAGGTCAGAGAGGTAGGAGGGAGCAAGGCCATGGATGACCTTGAAAGTGAGGACGAGGATCTTGACCTCGATCCTCTGGGAGATGGGGAGCCAGTGGAGTCGGGTGAGGGTGGGAGTGATGGGGTCACGGAGCCTGATGCGCAAGAGTAGATGAGCTGCAGAGTAACCTGTAACCAGGGCTCTCTCTGTCTCCTCGTCATCTCGACCACTTGTCCGCTTTCGATACTCTTGACCACTCTTCTTCTCCACCGCCTCTTCTCTCACCTCCACCTCAATGGTTCGGTTCTTGCCTGATTCTAATCCTACCTTTCCCACCATCTGCACTTCATGACCACCAACGGCTTCTCCTCTAGCCCCTGCATTGTCAAGTGTGGCATTCCTCAGTGTTCTGTCCTCGGTCCCCTCCTCTTCAATCTATACATGCTACCATTCAGCGATGTCATCCACAGGCATGGGATCAATTTCCACATGTATATGGATGACGCCCAACTCTATCTTGCTGCCTCCACCCTTGACTCCAGGACCGTTGATGTCCTGGCTAATTGTTTATCTGTCATCAAGTCCTGGAAGAGAGCCAACTTCCTCCAGCTCATTGTTGGCAAGACAGAGGGCCTCCTTCTTGGCTCCCGGGAGCACCTCTTCACCTCAGCCACTGACACTATCACCATGAATGGCTGTACTCTTCACCTCACTGAGCCAATCCGAAACCTCATTGTCCTTTTCAACCCTCAGCTATCCTTTAAACCCCACATTCGTGCCGTGATCCGTTCCGCCTTTCCACACCTCTGCAACATTGCTTGCCTCCACCACTGCCTCTCACTGCAGAACCACGAGACCCTGATTCATGCTTTCATTAAGTCCGGGCTTGACTATGTCAACTACCTGTTCACTGGACTTCCCAACTCTTCCCTCCACAAGCTGCAGATTATTCAGAACTCTGCAGCTCGTGTCCTCTCCCGAACCAGGCTCCGGGAAACTATCAACCCGTTCTTGCCCGGCTCCACTGGCTCCCCATACCTCAGAGAATCGAGTACAAAACCCTCATTCTTACCTTTAAGGCCCTCCATGGTTTTGCTCCCCCCCCCCCCCACCTCTCCGACCTCATAACCCCATATCAGCCTGTCACCTCCCTCCGCTTGGTGGACACCTTCTTCAGATTGGTGGTCGGGCATTCAGCATCTCTGCCCCCACACTCTGGAACTCTATTCTGCAATCCCTCTACCTCATCTCCTCTATTGCCTCCCTCCGTTTCCGTCTGAAGACCTTTCTCTTCGACCGTGTCTTCGACAGTGTTCAGTAGTGAACGTGCAGTAGTTATTATATGCCTTGAGTGCTGATGAAGGTATTTGTATAGCAGGTGTCGTAATAGCAGTGTTTTGCTACGGGTTGTATTTCGAGTACTGACCATAGTTTACTTGTGGATGTATTTAATGTACATTATCCTATATGTATTACTGTGGAATGTCAAAAGATACAGGTTTTTAAATCTAGATGGTAAATGTGATCAATTAGGTAAATATATTTTACACTTCAGCTTTAGTCATTTAATTGATGGAACATCCTGTAATATAACTAGATTTACATTATCAATGGAGAATAGTTTCAGACTATATCAGCTTCACACCAGCTTTCACGTAACTGACTGGGTACAAAGCACATTTTTCAGAACTTTTAAGTTTCAATGGATGGAGTCTGAACTCCCTTCAATTCCAGAAAAAACAATCAGTTCTCCCACTGGCTCTTCACTTTGAGCTCACGAACTAGACTGATGCTCCAGTGCAGTGCTGGAAGAGTGCTGCATTGTCGGAGGTGTTGTCTTTCAGACGAGACATTAAACCATCTTTTAGATGAGTTATTAAATTGTCTGCCTGTTCAGGTGTATGTTAAAGATTCCATGGCACTATTCGAAGAAAGCAGGGAGCTTCCCCTCATGTCCTGGCCAGCAATCGTCCCAGATAAAATTAGTCATTCACTTTTTGGCTAAATTTGTAGGACATTGATGTGCACAAATTGGTTGCAAAGTTTGCTTACAAAATGCATAGTCAAATCTCTTTACGGTAAACCCTGTGATGTGTTTTGAGTCGTGTTGCCAATATGAAAGGTGCTGTATCAAATGTTAGGATTAGAATTATTTTTGTATAAAGAAATGAACTGGCGATAACTTACTAGGAATTTTAATATGTACAGATATCTGTTTAAGTGCACCTTGCATAGCAGAGGGTGAAGCCAGTACAGGTGTATGTCACCAATTTGCATTGCTCGATGGCACATACAGTTTGATCCCTAGTTATTGCAGTATTACTGATGTATTGAAAATAGAACTCTGTGTAAAAACCTGTAATGTTTTGGTGCCTTTGTCGTAATTATAGCATCATTGAGACTGTGATGCTCTATTGGCACTGTATAGTCAAATCCCATTTCCGTGTTCTTTCAGCCATAGCCTTTTATATTATTTCTCTTCAAATATTTATCCAATCGCCTTTCAAAAGTTGTTACAGTTTCTTAGCTTCAGTACCTACTTGAGCCAAAGCCTAATCATACAATCCAGTAATTTTCCTGGTCCTGTTATATTGGAGGAAACCACGTGTAATTTGTTGTGCAGATGGGATTTTTCGGAGTTTGTAAACAGAGTGCTATTACCACCATAAGATTCTGACAGCACTTTACATTTGTAAGTAACAGAATTCAATACAAAGGTGTGGAAATCGAGTTCCCAAATCACTATAAAAATGTACATTTTGGTCAAGCAGGCAAATATTTTATCTTTAATATAACATAGTTTTTACTGCAAGATTCCAGGTTGCTTGAGCAAGGGAAATCTTGCTTACCTGAAACCCCTGTCCATTCATCTTTTTTTGTTTAACTCTTTTGACAGATAGAATGTCTTACTCTTTCCTTAATTTGACTAAATTTCATGCTTCTAAAAGCAAATTTGGACAATGTTCCAGTACAATTTGATATGCTTCACCAATTAACAACTGATCGCCTTTTATACAAGATTCCACTTCTGTAACAGAATATTCTAGTTCTTGCTCTTTTCCCTTAAACCTGAGCTGCTCTATGCACTCTGCCCACAGGCTTTTGTACTTTCCACAGTATTTTTCCTGTTTATAGTTATCAGAATTTTATCTAATGTGATGCTTCTGAGGGGACAAGTGCAAATTTTTAAACTGTAAATAAAACATTGGCTGGCTATTAATTACTATCCACTTGTGCTGCCTATCTTGTTGATAGACTGATGGGAGGTACATCCCAGAGGATGCACTGTGCTTTAAGTTCTTCCAAGGAATCAATTAGCTGGAGTAACACTGGGGATGGCTTATGTTTCGCATCAAGTTGTGGCAAGTTTCCAAGCGAGCTAAATAATGAATCGTTCTCTGTAAAACACTAAAACTTTATCTACAGGAAGTTCTGGTTAAGAAAAAATTAATAAAAATATTTTTTTTCACGTGGAATTGTGTTCCTTCCAAACCTTGAAGCTGCTTTGGCTCCATCGCTTTTGAAATTGAGTACAAAGCAAGTGATATCTGGTTTTAGTTAATGCAGTCCCAGGCCTTTAAAAAAGTCTGTACAGAGGAATCCTAGGCGATGATAACTAAGAGCTTCACTTTGGATTATTCAGATAACCCACTTTGAGCCATTCCAATTTATAAAGCACCATAAAAGTGCAAATTCTTTCTTTAATCACATCTTCTAGTTTTTAGACATGTTTGCTACCAGCATTAATGAGCTGTTAGTGAAGATTTTTGACACTGTGGAAATAGCCGCAGTCCTTAATTTTTGTATTTCTAGATCCTAAATAATAGTAAAGTATTATTTGCTTGGATTTCTACACGCATATTACAAAGGTCAAAAGGATTGTGGTAGAGTGATGTTAATGCATTGTAAAGGTTAATGACAGTGCTTCATGTAACTGAAAGCTTTATGTCATGCAAAGGTGAAACCATTTGTTAGTCATTTCTATATACCTAACACAAATGACTGTTGAAGCTGAGTCCCTCATAGCATTTAAAACGAAATCAGAAAAGTAATTTTAAACAGTAATGGAGAATGAGATTCCATCATATCTCTCCTGGTGCTAGCTCCCTCCTCCAGCAGGGGGTGTTAACTCAAGTACAAATATGATGGGCAGAATATCTTTTCTGTGCTGTGAACTTTCTATGATTCCTTGAGAATGCCATTGCCATAAAATTGTGTGTGCTTGAGGTACTCGTGCAGTGTTTCTTTTATAGATGGTGATCATTGGATTAATACAGCACATCCCAGAGAAGTGAGTAATTACTGTCCCTTGGATAATTTATGGTTACCTAAACATAATTTGTGTTCATTTACAGTCCATTCTCACTCACTAAAGCCCTGTTCATCCTGCGACTTGGAAGCTTGATCTTCCAGACATTTCTTCTCTTTTGGTTTCAACGTGACTCCCAGCTGATGGAAGGTATGTTGTATCAAAATATTGGTGGTGGAAAATATTGATCGCCGACTGATTTGTTTAATTTAACGTAAAGCATATCATTTAGATTGGTCGGTTTTGTTACCTGGGACAGCAGTTGGGGCACCACAATTTGGCTTGAATCCCCCTGGAAATGGGTAAGGGAAAATTAACTAGTGTTGTTAAGGGAAAACAACAGTCAGTTGTTGTTCTTGTAATAATAGTAGTGTTTCTGCTCTTGATGGATATCTGCAGACCTGTGATGGAAGGTGTGGCTATCAGATGAGGAAAGGATTGGGTTCAGATATCATATCCCTGGAGTTGAATAACTTGCCAGCTCACAAGTGAATATTTTTTTGTTGGGCTGAGGACTGAAGAGGGCCTGGCATCTGTGCAGCTGTACACCGGCAAATGAAGTTCGATACAGATAAATGCAAACTACTGCCTATAGGAAGCAAGAATAGGAAATAAGTAAACTCCACAGGTGGAATAGAACTTGCCAAGAGGGAAGGTGAAAGAGATCTATGATGGGTAGGCAGTGCTCTCAATGGCAAGCTATGCGGTTCTATTTGGGTAAACTCCAGCTATACCCCAGCGCACAATCTGGTGCTAATACCTGGCTTTCGCCAACCTGCGCTTTAATACTCTCCAGAATTAGGTAAGCAGGGTGTGTCCCTCCAGGCAGTGAATGCACATTCCATTCCAAATGCAGGAAAAATTCCACGGTATGTCGGTGCCTCAGTCTGGTTTGCATATTCTTAAGCATGGTGAGAGGCTTCCATATGTCAGATATCCTGTTGACCAAAACAAACCTGCATTTACTCTCAAGACTGTCTTTTTTCTTGCTGTTTGAAAGGCTGTTTGAAAGGCTGCTTTAATATGCATGTTTTCAAAAATGAGACCAAAGAAAGACTTTGAAATACAAATGCCAACAAAAAAAGGCCAAAAAGTGAGAGAGGAAAAGGAGTTAATATAAGAATATCGAAAAGTCACTCATATTTGCAGACAACTCCAATAGGTCACACGTTGCATCAAAGTTGATGCCCAGGATGATAAACAAGTTCAGAAAAGTGTTTTGATCTTTCATATCACACCAGGCGTCAGCATATGTGTGAGACTTATGAAGCAGTTTTCAGAGTTTGGACAAGTTTTTGTTGGAAACAAAGCATATGTGACCAGGTTGTCCACAAATATATAGTCAATTCACTTTACAGAATATTCTGTGAAGTGCTTTGAGATGTCCAGAAGATGTGAAAAGCGCTATATCAAATGCAAAGATATAGGATATATTGGATATAGATTATTATCATTATTCGTGTGATATGCCATGATACTTCAAATAAATAGAAATTCATTATATGGCTGTTGGTGGGACAATGCAATGCAAATTGGCTTCCACATTCACTGCAAAAATGCACAACCCCAAAGAACCCAGTGAAGCACTTTGATTTGTTGTCCTGACATGAAAAGCTCTGCATCAAATGTAAAGGTTATTATCATTGATAATATAGGCCAGAGTCTGTAAGTAAGGGAGAAGGTTAACATGTTTTAGAATGTTTTAAATATTGATTAGAAGTGTGGAATTTGACCAACGAATTCTCACATTATTTCTTAACCATCATATTATTCTGAACTAATCATTCCTATTAAGTAGCTACTTTTTTTAAAAAAGAGCCTCAGAGGACTGAATGTATTAGACCATTGCCCTTTGACCTCTGCTGCCCATCTTGAATCCAATCCCGACTGGGATGAAAGTTCCTTTTTTCTGAAGATTTTCACAGGGCTCAAGTTATTAGTAATGCGCGATAGGGAAAATACAATTCATTGTTTTCCAGCTTTGCTGATAGTGCAACTACTAATTTAAGTAAGCTAAATTATTATCCATTTGTCTTCCTTTCTCAATTACAGTCTCCCCAAAATTATGCTATGTAAAGTACAGAATATAGATACAGTATATAGAGAAGTTAATATATTCTGGATGAAGAGTGTGATTCACATCTGGGAAAACAATTGCTGTTTATCTCATTTAATCATTCACACTGTCAGAAGTGTTGAATTGAATGTCTGTGTGTTTGTTCCTTTTATTATATATGTAACAAAGCGACAGAAAAAGACTGAAGGACCAAAATGTTTTTTGAACCTTGTTTAGATTCTGGAATTAGATTATTTTAGATTGCTTAGATCTATAGATCTATTTGCATAATGAAGTACCTCTAGCTGTGTGGGTTTACTGTTGTGATCATTCAGAACTCTGCAGCTCGTGTCCTCTCCCCCACCAGGCTCTGTGACCCCATCAACCCCACCCTCGCCTGGCTCCACTGGCTCCCCATCCCTCAGAGGATAGAATTCAAAATCCTCATCTTCATTTTCAAGGCCATCCATCATCCATGGCCTTGCCCCCTTCTACCTCTCTGACCAGCAAATTACATTTATAGAGCGCCTTTCACATCGGGAGGACGTCCCAAAGCGCTGGACAGTCAGGTGTCGGGGCCCGAGCATGGGGGAGGGGAGGGTAGGGATGAGGGAAGGTGGAGAGGTGGGAGGGCAACCGAAGGCATGATCGAAGAGGAGAGTCTTGAGACCGGCCTCGAAGGAAGCAAGGGAGGAAGCGATGCGAAGAGACTGTGGGATGGAGTTCCAGAGTGAATAAGGGAACAAGGGAGTAATAAGGAACTAGTTAATTTTCATTTATTGATCACCTTGATCGTTGTGAAATGTGAATTAAATAGAAAATACTGTGAATGTTTTATATATACATACATATATATAATTATATATATATTATATCTAACATATATATATAATTTTTTCCAAAAGTCCCATTATTTGGTCACTAAAATACTTAACAAGCACAACTATAAGTCCAGGTTGCTCCATAACCTTGCTGTCCTAAAGATTGGTGACCATAACAGGTGGAAAGAGCTTCCAGAATGTCACTGAAGTGATGACACTGCATGCGTGAGCTTGAACAGTCACTGTTGTGCGAGAGAGTTACATTTATGAATCTTGTACTCATTGAAGTGAGGGCCAATAATGTGCAGAATGGGATTCTTTCTCAATCTGAAACTGGTGAACGCAGAAAGCACTCCCAAGTCGAGCAATGTGTGGTTAGATGTAAATAAATCATCGACTCAGAAGAGTTCCCCATTCTGCACCATTAACACTTTCCATTTCCCACACCAGAGGCCCAAAATTCCTCATATGCTCTTAAGAAGTCTTTTTAGGAGCTGCTGAAAACTGGCTTCCAACTCCAGCTTCCAAATTCAGAAACAAAATTAAGATTTTTTTCAAATTTCTGCATGATCTTAAATTTTAAGGCAATGGTCATAAGACATAGAACAATAGAAATGCTGGATCCTGGGATTCTTTATAGAAACTCTTTTGCCCTTGTAGAGCCAGGCTGTCATTTTAGGTCAGGTTCACATTGTTCTGGTGGGACTGCAAAATCCACTTGAACATAGACCCTCATAGCCAACAGGCAGAGAAGAGTTTCCCTCAATTATTTTCAAATGAATTCAGGATTCAGTCATCTTTAATGGACTGTGCCCCAGTGTGGAGAAACAGTAGGTGGTCCTTCCTGCAGTAGCATATATCCTGAAGCAGGTGCTTTCCTTTGCGTGTATGGAGATTTAATCATTTGCTTCTGAAACAAATGTCCCTTTCAAGGACACATTTCCCATTAACTGGTATCTGCTGTACTTGTATTTTCATTTGATTATTTCAAAACTGTGGTGCTGTGCCAATATTTCTCTATAAGTGCATGCATTCTGTCTTTAGAAACAAATTATTATCATGCCAATTTACTGTGCACAATGCTATTTTGACTATTACTGCATTCGTACATTTTAATATTTGGTGGGCATTATACACATTTTCTTTATTATGATGCAGAAGTACAATGGTGAATATTGGTGGGCGAAGCAGCTGCCCCAAATGACTGTGAGTTTATCCAGTGAGTCACTGCACTGTACACACTGGGAAGATACTTGGCTCAATCCTTGATCTTTGCTGAGTTATTAAACGTCAGCAAGGGCAGCAATTGAGGTATCCCTTTTCTTGAGGAGGGGAAAGATCAGCCAGGATTTCCATACCTCCTGCAAGATCGTGTTGAGATCGAAAAGGATTGGATTTGACTGGATGTTTCCCTTTAATTGCTTAGTGGAGTCCTGTAGCGCATTGGTTAGAGCACTTGCCTCGTAAGCTAGAGAACCTGGGTTCGATTCCCGGGCAGAGCGAAACACTGGACAAGTTTCCTTACTCCACACACCTCGGCTTACCTATCAGTAATTAGGTAACTGGTTGTTAGTCGATTGGCCAGTCACTTTTCCGCGGGTAATAATCCCTTCAAATAAATAAATAGATAAATAAATAAAATTTGGTCACTCAATCCATGACTGTTTGTGAAACACTGCTGTGCGCAATTGTTTGCTGCGTTTCACCAACAAAACAAACCGTCAATTTACTTTACAGTAAATTTTGTGAAGCACTTTGAGATATCTTGAAGACATGATAACAACATCAACAACAACAAGATTACATTTGTATAGCACCTTTCACGTCGGGAGGATGTCCCAAGGCGCTGGACAGAGTACAGCATTTCAGACCCAAGCTGGGGTTGGGGGGGGGAAGGGAGGGGAAGTGGGTGGCCGATGGCATAGTTGAATGATAAGGCGCTAAATCAAATGCAAGGATTTTTTTTTGTTATTATTATATTCCTCACTGCCAGGGTTCACAAGAATAATAACCACTGGAGTAACGATGTATGACAGAGAGACTGTTAATGTACCTCAGTAGAAGGAAAGGGGAGTCAAATGTTTCCAGAAAAGTAGGAAGGAAAGGAATGAAACTGGCGAGGGGTGGGAAGAAATTGGTGAAGCTATGGCACCAATGTAATGCGTGTTAATGCATCCTATCATCTGCAATAGGTCATGAAAAAAACATTAAAAAGACTTCATACAAGGATACCTGTGAAGTTGGCTGTAGCAATATAAATAATTTCTCTCAGG